GTGTGTGTGTGTGTGTATATGTGAATGTGTGTGTGTTAGACTGAGATCTCTGATGCCAGCCTGGTGGAGGATTCACAGTGAAATCCCCCCAGACTGACCACTAATTGGATTCTTGGTCAGTGAGAGAGAGAGAGCAAGAGCGAGTGAGCGAGAGGATGAGTGAGGTGTTGGCCTGGATCAGACTGTAGAGAGAGCCACAGTGCCATCTACTGGTGACAAATGAGATTACAGAAAGCAGAAATACATTTAGCTTCTATTAGCCCAGTGTTCAAGCACATAAGAGGAATATGACTCTTGGTTTTACATTATGTTTGATGCACAGACACAAGAAAGGACAAAGTTAACCCCAGCAATCAAAACTGCTGTTTACGGGTTAGTGGATATAAAGACATAAAAGTGAGATACAGGGTGAAAAAATGCTCAAATAAATGTGAAAGTGTACGGGGTTCCTAGAAATACACCCCTTATAGGACTTGTATTCATTTTAAAGTTAATTTTTGAGCGAAAACACTCTCTCTGTGAAATGATAAATCCATTTTATATTTGTGTATTTTTCCATTACACTTCTTTTTATTCATTAATGTACAATTTAAACTCTGTCTCTATACAAAATAAATCCCACTCCCAAAAGAGTGTTTTTTATATATATATATATATATATATATATATATATATATTTCTGTTTTTATATGTCAATGCAGATACAGTTAAAACTTAATTTTAAATCATGACAGACCAGTTAGGGGCAATAAGGTGTAATCAGCCTGTCACATCTAAACATAAACAAGAATTATGTGCAGATGAGTATTGAGCATCGTCTGTATCCTTAATTAACAATAACTACTTTCAGGTCTGGCCCCAACCTACATATCCAATCTATTGACTCCTTATGAGCTAGCTTGCAGCCTCAGATTCTTGGGTGGGGGCCTCCTGGCGTTTCCAAAGTTGAGGTTTAAGACTAAAGGTGAATCGAGCCTTTCCTGTCAGGGCTTCTCAACTTTGAACGTGGAGGAGATAAAGCCTGCTGAATCAGTGACATCTTTTAAATCACATCTTATAACTCACTTTTTCTGCGCGCTTTTTGTAATGCATTTTTTACTGCCTACATACTTGTCTATCAACCTTGTTACTTATTCATATTTTTCTATTTTATTTACGTACTTATTTTACAATTACAACAGCTATTTTTAATCTCTTCTGTTCCTACTCCCCTCACCAGTTTTTCATTGTTTTAGTCCTGTCTTTTCTGTGTTCTCATGTGTTAATAAACTACCTTCTTTATTTATTTATTTTATTTTATTTAATTTATTCATTTATTTATTTTCTTTTGTCCATCCTCTGTCTACCCTCTTCATATCCATCTTTCTAATGTGATGTCATCAAAGATCAACCGCCATTAATTTATCTATGTATCTACAAATATATTACTATTTGTTCTCCTTATTGTCCCTATTGTCTCCTTATCACTATGTGTGAAACAAAATACCTTCTTTACTACTGTTCTTCATATGTATGAATTGACATATGGAGTTGTACTAATTTAGTATATTTCTATAGTATTCCTGCTGTTTCCAGCTGCTTTACATGAACCTCTGTGCCTTCTCAACTGGCCCTTTTGGTTTTTGTTTGACCTGATTGTTGATTTATCGTCCACTGAGTTCTACCATTTTCTGCCTTTATTTTGTCTGTTAAAGTACTTTGTAAACATCTGTTTTTAAAGGTGCTATATAAATAAAATATAATCATTACTATTAATGTTATTATAATCATGGTGTGTCCTGGCTGTAGTGCAGCCTTTCACCTCTAGTTGGGGCTGCAGCTCCAAATCATGGCTGCTGCCTCAATGCTATAATGCTCCACTACTGTAGCCTGGCTGGGCCATCCTGTTGCGTGAGTCACTTGACGTTCCTTCCCACCACAGTCTGGACTTTGGCCCATTGGAAGCCCTGAAAGTGGGCGGGAGTACTTTCTAGGGCTGCAACTAACGATTATTTTGATAATCGATTAATCTGTCAACTATTTTAATAACTAATCAATTAATTGGATAAACAGGCTAAATTCATCAAGGCAGCTGTTAATAGCAATAGCATAGGGCTTTAGTTTATCATATGAGTTTATCTGCCATGAGGTGTTGAGGTCTCTGCATGTGTAGGTTACTGACTTACTGTAATCATCGGGTCTATCTCGTCCTTATAAAAACCTGCTCTATTACGGCGAGTGTCTGTCTTCTTCTGTAGTCAAACTGCAAGATATCAAAATCTACCCAGATACAGCAATGCTGCTTTTTGATTGGCTGTTCAGTATACACTCACCGGCCACTTTATTAGGTACACCTGTCCAACTGCTCGTTAACACTTAATTTCTAATCAGCCAATCACATGGCGGCAACTTAGTGCATTTAGGCATGTAGACATGGTCAAGACAATCTCCTGCAGTTCAAACCGAGCATCAGTATGGGGAAGAAAGGTGATTTGAGTGACTTTGAACGTGGCATGGTTGTTGGTGCCAGAAGGGCTGGTCTGAGTATTTCAGAAACTGCTGATCTACTGGGATTTTCACGCACAACCATCTCTAGGGTTTACAGAGAATGGTCCGAAAAAGAAAAAATATCCAGTGAGCGGCAGTTCTGTGGGCGGAAATGCCTTGTTGATGCCAGAGGTCAGAGGAGAATGGCCAGACTGGTTCGAGCTGATAGAAAGGCAACAGTGACTCAAATAACCACCCGTTACAACTAAGGTAGGCAGAGGAGCATCTCTGAACGCACAGTACGTCGAACTTTGAGGCAGATGGGCTACAGCAGCAGAAGACCACGCCGGGTGCCACTCCTTTCAGCTAAGAAGAGGAAACTGAGGCTACAATTTGCACAAGCTCATCGAAATTGGACAATAGAAGATTGGAAAAACGTTGCCTGGTCTGATGAGTCTCGATTTCTGCTGCGACATTCGGATGGTAGGGTCAGAATTTGGCGTCAACAACATGAAAGCATGGATCCATCCTGCCTTGTATCAACGGTTCAGGCTGGTGGTGGTGGTGTCATGGTGTGGGGAATATTTTCTTGGCACTCTTTGGGCCCCTTGGTACCAATTGAGCATCGTTGCAACGCCACAGCCTACCTGAGTATTGTTGCTGACCATGTCCATCCCTTTATGACCACAATGTACCCAACTTCTGATGGCTACTTTCAGCAGGATAATGCGCCATGTCATAAAGCTGGAATCATCTCAGACTGGTTTCTTGAACATGACAATGAGTTCACTGTACTCAAATGGCCTCCACAGTCACCAGATCTCAATCCAATAGAGCATCTTTGGGATGTGGTGGAACGGGAGATTCGCATCATGGATGTGCAGCCGACAAATCTGCGGCAACTGTGTGATGCCATCATGTCAATATGGACCAAGCTCTCTGAGGAATGCTTCCAGCACCTTGTTGAATCTATGCCACGAAGAATTGAGGCAGTTCTGAAGGCAAAAGGGGGTCCAACCCGTTACTAGCATGGTGTACCTAATTAAGTGGCCGGTGAGTGTATATACTTTATTTGATTGGCTTGCACGTGGCACGCAGCTTCTGAACTCTCAGAGAAACTCAGTTGATTTCCCCCTGTTCCGTAGTTAAAGAAGTGCAACTTGGTGGACATCACCATATTCATTTAAATTAGTGAGAAATACACTGTGTGGTGTGTGAGCGTGTGAACGGGTGGGAATGCGTGTGTCATACACTGAATGCGTGAGACTTGAGAGCCCTGTGCTCACGCATCATCAATGTACTCCCGTGCCATGCAAAACGGGCTTTGCAAATGTTGCACTGAACGCCTTCCTTTTCAGTCTTGGTAAAGTTTTCCCACACCATGGGTTGTGTCCATGTTTTTCTCAGCCGCTGCCTCAGCCATGGCTGTTTCTTTTCTGTGTGTCCTGCTGATGTTTACACGCCGGTGTACATGGACATATATAAAGACCAGACGAATCGATTACAGAATTAGTTGGCAACGGATTTTTTCGTCACGACGAATCGACTTAATTGATTCGTTGTTGCAGCCTTAGTACTTTCCTTGATAGACAGACTATTATAACCAATCATCCAAGCATCTGACGTCATAACAGATGCTTGGTTACGGTGATTGGTTACAGTAGTACATGGACCAATCAGGGGCTGCCTTTCCCTGTTGTCTGGGTAACAGTGAAAACATGGTCTTTGATTGGCCCGGTTATTTTCTGATCGGACATACACGCTCTCTATGGGCCGAAGTCCAGACTGTTGTGGGAAGGAACGTCAAGTAACTGACGCAACAGGATGGCCCAGCCAGGCTACCACTACTTAAATGTAAACCTGCCTTGCTGACTGATGGCACCTCATGTTGTCTGTGTCTACTTAAAATGGCATGTATTACTCAAATGATGCGCTTGAACCCAGAAGTTGCTGCAAGTCTGGTCTCTCTGTATTATCTGTAATTTTTGTAATTTTGCTAGATTTTTTTCATATTTTTGTTGTAATTTTGTTGGTTGCTGATGGATACTTCTGCTGGGCGAAGAGTATACTCAAGAGAAGAGCTCCTTTCATTGAGGAAAAGGAAATCTGGACAACAACATACAATTCCAGAGGACATCAGGAGGTGTTATCGTGGTTGCCATGCTGGTGCAAAGGTGAAGGCAAAGCTGAATGCTAGGAGTTGGTGATATAAACCCTTTCTTCCATCAATCATCATGGGACACGTCAACTCTCTGCCCAACAAAAGCGATGAGCTGGAGATATTGGTGAAGACTGAGAAAGAATACTGTGAGTGCAGTTTCCTGTGTTTTTCTGAAACCTGGTTGAATCAGAACAACTCGGACGCCAGTGTGGATCTACCTGGCTCCACTCTCATAAGGTCAGACAGAGATGCTCAAGCTAGTGGCAAGAAGAAAGGAGGAGGTCTGGCTTTATTTGTCAACCAGAGATGGTGTAACCCTTCACACATAACTGTCAAGGAGAAGTTGTGTTGTCCAGATATTGAACTGTTGGCAGTTGCTCTTTGGCCATATTTTGTTCCAAGAGAATTTAGTCATATCATAACAGTAGTTGTTTACATTCCACCCAAATCAACTGAAGAATGTTGCGATTTTTTGCAAAATAGTGTTGCCAGGCTACAGACTCAACACCCTGAGGCACTAATAATATCGGGAGACTTCAACCATGTCACCCTCTCCTCTCACCTCACTGGATTCACACAGTTTGTGAACTGTCCTACCAGCGAAAACAAAACCCTGAATCTGCTGTATGCCAACGTCAAAGAAGCCTACAGAGCCACTGCCCTACCACCACTGGGCAAGTCAGATCATAACTTGGTCTATCTGCAAACCTGTTACAGACCTTGTGTACTGAGGCAGCCTGTGACCAAAGTCAAAATAAGAAGATTGACACCTCAAGCCAGTGAAGCTCTAAGGGACTGTTTTTAATCAACAGACTGGAATGTGCTGCTGGAAACACATGTGGATAGTATGAACACTGATAAACAGGTTGACTGCTTGACTGATTATGTCAACTTCTGTAGAGACACAGTTATACCCACAAAAATTGTTCACTGTTTCCCCAACAACAAACCCTGGATCACAAGAGACATAAAAGCAATCCTTAACCACAAAAAGAAAGCTTTTAAAGATGGTGACAAAGAACAACTCAAACAAGTGCAACAAGAGTTGAAGAGGAGACTGAAGATGGCAAAGCTGGAGTACATAAAGAAGATAGAGAATAATCTACAACACACCAGTGAAAAGAAAAGACAGCCAGTGGTGGTTGATGTGAAAAGAGCTGATGAACTCAACCTGTTCTTCAACAGATTTGACACTGCTGTCACACCCACTTCCACTGCTACTCCATCTTCCTCTCAGCAACAAATTTCCACTACAACTTCTCCCCTTCCTCCTCCATCTTGTTCAACTGTCTCAACCACTTTAACTGCCTCCCTCCTCGAACACCAGTCCTTGTCCGTCACGAAAACAGGGGTGAGGATGGAGCTTGGAAGACTTTGTCCTGGGAAGGCAGCTGGTCCAGATGGTGTGTGTCCAAGGTTGCTTAGAGACTGTGCCGCAGAACTGTGTCAGCCCCTCCACAAGATCTTCAACCTGAGTTTACCGCTGGGGTGGGTACCTGCTTTATGGAAAACATCCTGCATTGTGCCAGTACCAAAAACAAAATGTCCTGCTGAACTCAATGACTACAGACCAGTGGCCCTCACTTCACATCATGGAAACCCTGGAGCGGCTGATTCTACACCTTCTGAGGTCTGAGGTCAAAGACAAACTGGATTTCCCGCAGTTTGCATACAAAGGACACATCTGAGTGGGTGATGCTGTCCTCTACATGCTACACCGTGCCCTGTCTCATCTGGAGGAACCTGGGGTTTATGTGAGGATCATGGTCTTCGACTTTTCAAGTGCATTCAACACCATCCAACTCACCATACTCAAAGACAAGCTCACAGAGATGGGAGTGGATCCTTCCTGTGTTTCCTGGATTGCAGATTACCTGACAGGAAGGCCACAGTTTGTCAGGCTGGGGAACTGTGTTTCTGGGACATTAATGAGCAGTACAGGGGCTCCACAAGGGACAGTGCTGGCGCCATTCCTGTTCACACTGTACACGTCAGACTTCAAATACAGTATTGAGTCCTGTCACATCCAGAAATACTCAGATGACATCGCTATTGTGGCATGTATCAGAAATGGACAAGAAGCTGAATACAGAGATCTAAGAAGAGACTTCAGTGACTGAAGTCACAAAAACTGCCTCCTCCTCAACACCTCAAAGAAAAAGGAGATGGTCATAGACTTCCGTAGATCCAAACCCCCTATTCAGCCAACCTGTGGACGTGGACGTGGACGTGGAAGTGGTGACATCATAGAAATACCTAGGTGTACATCTGGATAATAAGTTGGATTGGTCTAAGAATATAGATTTCATCTACAAAAAGGGGCAGAGCTGCCTCTTTTGACTGAGAAGACTCCGATCAATAGACATCTGTAGTAAGACGATGCAGATGTTTTATCAGTCTGTGGTAGCAAGTGTGCTGTTCTACGCTGCAGTCTGCTGGGGAGGAAGCATCAAACACAAAGATGCAAGATGTCTTAACAAACTGGTGAAAAAGGCTGGCTCTGTGGTAGGACTCAAGCTGGACTCAGTGGAGGATATGGTGGAGAGATCTACACTGAGGAAGGTGGAGACTATTCTCAAGAACATGGATCACCCACTTCACAACAGCTTGATGGACCATGGGGCAAGTGGTGGTGGACGGCTCCTCTCTCTTCGCTGCAGGACAGAAAGCTTTAGAAGATCTTTTGTACCAACAGCCATCAGGGTTTATAACTCTTATGTAAATAATAGATAACTTTTAGAGACATATTACGTGAGACAACAGACAATTGAATTTCCCTTTGAGGATCAATAAAGTTCTTCTCATTCTTATATCAACAACCTACCAGAACAATCTGTGTATCTTTGTGGCAGACAGTATGCTGTGGTTTGGACTTAACTCATTCAAACTTTAGTGGTATAAAGAAAGCTGCACAAGTTCGTAATACACACTGTCTGTACTTATCCTGGCCTGGTTCACACTCTGTCTCTGCACACACACACACATTTTGCTGACCTCTCTCGGTCATCGTGCTCAGCAGTGCGGTCACCATGTGAGCGATGTGAAGCAGTGCAGTGTGGAGGAGGGTCACATCGCCCTGCTAATACTCCATATGTTTGATTAATGCCCTCTCTCTTTGAGCGCCTCAACTTTGCTCTTCTTTACCTCGCTCGCCCTCCACCTGTCTCCACCTCCTACTGTTTACCCTGTTTAACCTTGCTCACCTCTAACTAGAGTTTCTACTTTCCACCTATTTTTACTTTATTTCCCTATTTCTTTATTTTTATCACTTAACTCTCTCTCTTTTTCTCTCTCTTTCTCTCTCTCTCTGTCTCTGTCCTTCTTTCTCTCTTTCTCTCTCAGGACTACGTTCTGGCTGTGGAGACCTATCACTCCATCATCCAGTATGAACCCCAGCAGAGAGTGCAGCTGCTCAGTGGTATAGGACGCATCTTCCTTCAGGTCTCCACAGTAAAACACACACGCACACACACACGCATATGCACTATGGACACATTATGACACTAAGACACTAATTCCCAAGGCATGCACCTAGAAGTCTAGAAATCCCCCAGTTTCCAGCTAATCAAAAAATCTAAAGCCTTACATTCAAAGCCACTTTATCAAGTTAATCTTTTAAGTTACTTATATAACCTTAAAACTGTTTTAAATACTAATTTGCAACTTTTCTTAGAAGTGTGCCATGGTTCCATTAAATGAGCCTCTAGCAAATTCAGCGACAGTGAATGCTGTGGCTGGTAACATTCAGAGAAGCTAATGAAGGATGCTACATTGCTGTGATTTGTGTGTGATGTTATTTTTTGAGATTATTTGTTTGATACTCTGGTTAAAAAAGCTGTGTGAGGAGATCTTGAACAGTATGTAAAGGTTTGACAACCAGAGGCACCTGTTCCTGAAGTTTTTGCAGTATGTCTAAAGTGCAGTACCAGGCTAGAATTGGACAGCATTACATTCTTAAAACTTCAGGAGCTGGTCCTCCTGGTCACCGAATGAGCATGTCATACGCGTGTCATTGTTAGAAAGAAACAACATTTTTCTGCTTTGCACTAATTTAATCAACTAAATGTTTTATTTTTTCAAAACTTATTGTTTTTATTTTTTCTAGTTGTAGTCTTTTTCTGTTCTAGTCACAGCCCTCTGTTTTGTTTCTTTTTAAGTCTTAATACAAACAAGACTAACTAAATACTGGTTTAATTCTGTCCCCCCAAAATAAGGAGATTGATTCTGCTTTAATTTTTTCCTTTATTTTTTTAGATCTTGCCCTAAATAGCTCCTGATGCCTTGCTCACAACTCCCTTGTTTGTACTAACATCAGAGCAATATTTGTTTTTTGATTCTTTTTATTCTCTCGTAATTTTCCTGTTTGTATTCTTAGCTGATGTAATAAGTTAGCTTCCCCAGGGGCATCACAAATCCAACTTAATTCATTAATGCTCGCCCTGTTTTATAATACACACAGAGAGATCATTTAATGTGTTGTTTCTGCTTTGTTCTTGGCCAGATCGGAGACGTTAAAACAGCAGAGAGGTATTTCCAGGATGCGGAGAAAGCCTGCCAGATGAAAGGAAGCCAGCCCAGTCACACCACATGTGTGCTCATGAATAGGTGTGTGTCATGTACTTAGCACTTTATGCAATGTGTTTGTGTGTATGTGTGTACTCAGAGCTGCTCAGGATAATTTTCACTCCATAATGGCTGTGCTTCCTTCAGGGCCTTTTGCAGGTTTGAGATTCCTCTATGAGTGTTTGTTTTAGCGCAGGAGGCCACACCTGTGTGGCACCGGCCAGCGGGGCTTAGATGCATGAGACTCAGCTCAGGTGACAGGTGTTTGATATCGTCGTAGAGTCATGGTTCAAAAAGGATTCTGCCGTCACATTAAAGCCTTTTGTAACTATTCCATTTAAAAGTTAATGAAAGAGAGAGACTGATTGATCTATTGGCCAATTAATCAGGCTGATTTTAGAGTCAAAGGTCAGCCCTCACAAGATCTTTAACGTATATTTTCCCAACAAGCCTCAAAATTGCTCTACAGATTGCAAATATTGCATCCCAAAGTTTGAATGATGGGGTGTCTGAAGCAGATCGGGGCGGTGGCTGCAGCTGCTGCATCACAGTGAATCTTGGTACATGTAGGTGAAGCAGCATGTAAGGGAAGTCATTCAGCAAGGGTACACAGTTTGATGTAAGGAGGCAGCATCTTTTTAACATTGTGTCAACAGTCTGTTTGTCAATTTCATGTTTAAATTACACAACACCCCATTGCATAAAGACAGTCGTGATCGTAATCATAGTCGTAGATTTTCCAGTCTGCGTGGAAAAACCAGACAAGTCTGCACAAAGTCCTTAATTTAGTCATGTCTAACAGAAAACCCAGAATCAGAAAAGTGTAGGGCAACAAAAGAGCAGGTCTAAGACTGTGAATCTGATTAAACATGTTCGCAACAATACAAATTTGTGTGTTTTTGTTCTTTTGACCATGTATTGTATGTCCTCTAAAGCTCCAGTGTGTTTGTAAGACCTGAGCCTCCACTGAATTTCCCTCACATTCAGTTTTATTTTGTTTATACTGTAGATGAACTGAATCTGTGTGTGTGTGTGTGTGTGTGTGTGTGTGTGTGTGTGTGTGTGTGTGTGTGTGTGTGTGTGTGTGTGTGTGTGTGTGTGTGTGTGTGTTCTCCAGAGCCTTTGTCTACCTCAGTCAGAACAACTACGCTGAAGCACACACGTCCTTTATTGAAGTCCTGAAAATTGACCCCAAGAACCCAGTGGTAAGTCCTTCAGCCATAAGAATCTTGCTGAAAATCACGTGTGTAAACAAACACCGCTGTCCTGCGCTGCAAACATTTCACCATCAAACAGATGCAGTCAGATGAGGCACAGATTAGTTAGTATAGACTAACCTTTTTTGATTTTGGGGGGTTCAAAGCAGCAACTCAGGAGCTGAAAAAAGCAGCTGAGAAAACTGCAACTCCTCATGTGACAACTAGAAGCTGGCTTAAAAATCCCAGGAATCTTCATTTACGCCCATGTTAAAAAAAAAAAAAAGAAAAACAATAGTCTGAATGACCCTGTTATTCATTCCTACACAGTTAAGAGTACGGTGGCCCTGAGTGTCAACTGCAAAATTGTTTTATCATTTCATAAATATATTAAATAATATTCAATAAAAAAAGGAAATAAATACAAATAATGAAATGCTAATGAATTTCACAAGCATAAAACATTCATGACATATTAGGAATTCACAGATACAAAGTATTTAATCAGACAGAAATATTTTTAAAAAACAAAAATATTTCAGAAAGGCAAAAATGTTTTACAGATTTCAAGAATATTTCATTGAAAGCAAAACTATTTTATACAAAAATAAAAAACTAGTTATGTCTTCCAAGTCTTTCATATTCATTCAATGGACCAGAAAAAGTGAATAAAAAGTCACATAAATTGGAGTTTTTCATCTCGTCACACATTTTTGTATTACATAAATTAATTTTAAATTTAATTTGCATTTAAAATTTTCAGTGTGAAACAATTTATTGCATTTGATTAAATGTCTTGGAAAAAACGGTTGCAATGGAAATTATTTTTGTAATTTAACTTTAAATTTTTTTTTTTTTGTTTGGTTTTGCAAAATATTTTTTAATTTAAATATTTTTGTGTTTCATCAAAAGTTGTAGTTATGTAGTATCATTTTTGATTTGTTTACACATTTTGTGTTTTGTAAAAGACATTCAGTTTTGTTAAATACTTAAGCAATTTAATTAAACATTTCTGTGTTTTTGAAACTTTTCAGCAATACATACAAAAATTTTGAGTTTAGAAAAATATTTGGGTTAAATTTGGAGTACAATAAATTTGTGTGTCACTAAATACTTTTACATTAGATTAAATATTTCTAAGTTTGATTAAATATTTTTGTTTTTCCTGTGTTGTTTCCTTTTAAATGAAAATTTAAAAGTCTTATTTCAAAATTATTAATCTATTGCAGTTAGCAGCATGGCTGGTTGGGCTGACAGGTGGATGGATGTGTTGTTAAAGCTCACCTCAGCTCCATCTCTGGCAATATTTACGCGACAAAGTTAGGATGAGTCAGCATTGTCAACATGGTGACGGCTGTCATTACTCTTTTTAGAAAACCAGTGAGACAACATCTATGTTTGTTCAGTCTCTAATTGAACATGGAGACAAAGGGACTGTGAGACAGCCAACTCTTTGATATCTGCCTGTATCTAAACTCCTGTCTTCACCCATTCCCTGCCTCCCTCCCTACCTCCTTCCCATGTTGTTACCATCTTACCTTCAGGCTAACAACAATGCCGCAGTGTGTTTGCTGTATCTTGGACGGCTGAAGGAGTCCCTGGGCCAGCTGGAGGGCCTGGTGCAGCAGGACCCCGCCCTCTACCTCCACGAGAGTGTCCTGTTTAACCTAACCACCATGTATGAGCTGGAGTCATCTCGCAGCACCCAGAAGAAGCAAGCACTGCTGGAGGCCGTGGCCTCCAGAGAGGGGGACAGCTTCAACACGCAATGTCTGAAACTAGTCTGAGGGGACTAACTGGAGGATTACACACAAACACACACACGCACACACACAAACACACACATCCTAGTAAAGCCCAGGGATAAGATCTATGGAGGTAGAGAAGCTGTCTCTCCTTTGTGAGTGTGGGGACAGAAAAGTGAATGTTGCTCAGTTTAGCCTCCCAGTTGAAATGAAACTTCAAGGAACTTTTTTTTTTTTTAAATCAATGAAACAGATTTGGGAAGCAAAATCATCCAAGAATACAGAAGACTTCACTGTCCCTATTAAGACTGACCTGATAACAAGACTAAAATGTACCCACTGGAGCAGATAGTGGTGGCAAAGGTCACATATTCAAGTCCTGTGTATGCAAGAGTTTATCTTAATTTTATTTAGCACATTAAAGGAATAATCTGACATTTTTGGAAGCTCATTAAGAGAAATGATGGATGGTACTCTCATGTCTGTATCATAAACATGCAGGTAAAAGTAGCAGACAGTTAAACAATGAAACAGACAGCCTCATTACCTCCTGGTCAGTTTGCTTAACTTTTCATCACGTCTGGAAAACAGCCCGTCAGGCTCTGCCTAAAGGGTGGCTTAAATACTGAACAGCTAGCAGGCAGCTGGCTTGACTTTTTACATTTAACGGATTAGTAGCCAGTAAACCTGAATACAGAAAGGTAAACCCCCCCAAGCTTCCAACTGTTTTTTGTTATTATTGTGTTGTAACCTCACAGAGGACAATAAGTGGAGGCTTCAAAGGTTGTTTTATGGTTATTTTTGAAAGTAAAACAAAATGTTTTACAAGTTTTTTTTAATTCTTTCTATTATATTTCTGATTATCTGCTATTTTTTTTCATCAGAACACTGAAACAAAAAATTGGCTGCAACGACTCACGCTTGGGAGAATAAGGGACAAGAAGTTTTTAAATCTAGGTAACTTGAAGCTGTGCTAGCATTAATAACCATGAGGGATTTTTATTTTTGTAAGGGAGCCTTTTACATCATTGAACTTTAGTTTTCAACTTTCTAGGGCGCTTTTTAATCTTGCAAATGTTGTAAATACAGCATTTAAATCACAGTGAATCACAGAAAAATTGTGCAGCATTAATCGCCCTCCTTCCTGCCACAGCATATGAACTGTTTTTTTACCATTGCTTCTCGCTGCCTTGATGGCATGCAACCGTCATCCTGTACATCCAATGTGAGACCTCCTCTTGAACAGACCAGTTAACTTACCAGCTGCTAGCTGGTTAGTTTCACATTGAGCATGCAGATATGAGAGTCAGCTTCCTTTTTAACCCTTACTGGTTGTAAAAGTGTATAAAACAATCCCTGAAATGTCAAACTATTCCTCTAAAGTGTTAAATTTTATCAGAGACTCTTCAGAGGGATGAAACTCACATTGGTTTTAATGGAGTCTAAGGCTCAGAATGTGAGACTGGACACGGGCATTATCCTGAGCTTCAGTGTGCTAACAAACTCAAAACTACCACACAGGTCGAATGCTTCCTCTTCAGCACACACCAGTAGTCCCACCCTGAAGTCTAAAACCACTTCATTTTACTTGCACAGGTACCTGGTGCAGTAAAAAACAAACACCCTTAAGATTGCACCACACCCTGCCCACTACACCAAACTGTATATTTGTACATATCAGAAAGGCTGATTTTGTCCTATTTAAATAATATCAAGAATAATGGTCAAGTTCATTTTTTAGTGATTTGTCCTCTTTGATTTTCACTGTTTACACTTTGTGCTGATCATATTAATGTATAGTGTTATAAATAATTTTGTTTTTATCTGAAATAAAACTGTTCTTTTAAATCAAACCAGTCTGGTCAAAGTGAGAGAAAACAACACAGTTTACAATCATGGCAGCAGCTTTATTTTCCAAAGAGCAGAAAAACTGTTGCTTTTATTCAGAGAAACATACAATCAGGAAGAGTTGCTGATTAGTTGCATAATTCATTTTTAAACATGCTGTTTGGTGAATAAAGCAGGACTGATTATCCTGCTGGGAAGAATAGGTTCATGACTGAAACAAGGTCAGAATATACAACTTTATGAGTCAAAAACTTTTATTTAACTACAAGTTTCACTGTCCAAGATTCAGGGATATTTCACGAAAGAAAACTTTAATATTCATGATTGTGCTCTAATGAGCTAATAGTCGCTAAAAATACATAATTGCATGTATGCTGCTTTACAAGTTCCCCTTTATTTTAACAAAGAGAGCATTTCTTTCATATTTATACAAAAACCTTGAAGGCTCAAAGAAAACTCTTACATAAAAGGAGGGTGCATTTTTGATTGTCACCACTAGATGGCACTAAATCCCACAAACTGCTCCTTTAATTGAAGCATAAACCATAAAAAAGAAAGCACTTGTGCAGAAAACACTCTTTAAAAATGTATATAGCAATACTTTCTCGTAGCTTGATTTGAGACACACGTTTTTGTTGTTGAAGTTCTGAGGAAATAAAGTAATAATTGTCTTCTGGTTGAATAAAGTGAAATATGAAGAATGTAATGAGTGTAAATGAGGATGAAATAGAAACACCTGTAGCTCTCTGACCATATATCACCCCCATGTGAGCTAAATCATTCAAGCAAACCTGCTATATCTGAATATATTTTGCAGAATCACATTACAAACTCTTTTTTTTCTCGTGTCCTTAGTGTTCATATAGAAGCTGCTCTGTTCCTAGAGTCGATGTCTTGGGATGCAGATCTCTCTCAGGGTCCCTGCAAAAAGGCCACATACTTCTGGCGGATCTCAATCTCATCAGCTGGTCGGTTGTAAGATTTCCACACCGGCTCCCCAATAAACAGCCTCATGCCTCTTGTGTACCCCTACAAAATAAAACAAACACAAAAGATTTAAGTTCTGCACAAATCGGAAACAGGCTGGAATCTAGTTAGGACTATCAATCAGTTATTTGAGCATTTAACAGTCTGAATCTAGTCTCCATATTTACAGACACCTGGACTTGAAGGATTCCTGGTTAGAGAGTAAGCGCTTCATGCCATCCCTCACATCTGTGTGTGAGACTCTTCAATGCCAAATTTACAACACCAGATTACACTTGTATGTAAAGAATGCAACTGTCAAGCCCTCTTCATGTCAACAAGATGTGGTATATTCATGCAATTATCACTTTAAGGTAAATTGAGTAAATATTAGTAGTGGTTTCCTAAAGAAAATGAATGTACTTCACAGAAGTCTGTTTGAATTAGTTTGTATGAATAGATGATAGTATTTGTTTCATTTCTGATGAAGTCTTTTATATTATAGAAGCAGCGGGTCCTCGCTTAGGGGGCTTAAATGTTGCACAGCCATGTTTTCTACAAAGGCTCAGAACAAATAAGCAGGAACCAAACGTGTGTTTATTCCTGGGAGTCTGAGCGAGCGCCTAACATTGGTGGTACCCTTCATGGATGAAAGTCCTAAGGACAAATTAATGTTTACAGAGCGACTCTGACGGACTAAGTTTTCTGCTAGAGGGGTAGGAGAAGGACTCTTCACACAGAGGTACAACAGTTAACAGACAAATTATGCTGGATTATCTCAGTTGGTGCTGCTCCTCCTAACCCTGGAGAAAAACTGTACTATTTGTCAGAGTGAGCTTTCCAAACGAGCAAAAACAAACACAATTAAAACTGGTACAGTTTCTCCTCAGGCATCATCCAGTGTTCAGAGGTGTGTCAGACAGAGGCTGAAAGAGGGGTGTGGTTTCATATCACTGATGCAAAGAAACACAGGTGTCTAGACTTCTACAGGATTGGTTTATTTTTAGGTGATTTTCGAGACCTCAGTGTTCATTACCATACTCATTTCATATTCAGCTGCTAATATCAAAATGTGAGTTACAAACGTACTGCCTCGTCTGGGGTGAAGCGGTGGTAGATGCCAGCTGGTATGGTGATCAGATCCCCTTTAGCCAATAAGATACGGATCCATCGGTCCTCCTTGTCCCTGACATCAAAGTAGCCCCGCCCATCCAGGAAGTAGCGGATCTCATCGTCCAGGTGGATGTGCTCCGCGTATAGAGCCTTCATCTAAGTGTGTGAGTGTTGGAGAGTAATCACAAATGCATATAAATGTGGTGGGCTAAAGGTCACAGGTCATGACATCTACTTATAAGGGTGAAATTCTCATACGTTTTGTATTCATTGCATTCATTGTAAATTGTTTGTGTTTTAAGAGGAGACGGTTTACAGGTAAACAAATGTTTACACTGAACCTCCCGTCGACGGGATGTCATTGATGACTAGCTCCTTCTCTGTCCTGCTCGATACGGTCGAAGTATCCTAAGGTTTTAAAAAATAAGAAAGTTAAATGCGTAAATGCGCACAGCGTCTCTCTTAAAAAAGAGAAAATCACTGATGGTTTGCCCTCTAGAGAAGGCTTTTGTGACAGACATAACAGCAATGCATCAACATACAAGTGAACGCGTTCCTTTATTAGTGTTTGTTTTGTACGTAAAAAGGCGCGATGGCACATCCTTCATGTGTCCGGCGCTTCTTCTGTTCCATTTTAATCACCCGGGAAAACTTTTTTTGAGTCTTAACATAATAAAACGATTGAAAGTAGATGTACAGACAAGCTCAAACTGTTAATCTCTGAAGAAACACAGACTGTAGACAGTCCGGTGTTGTGCCGTAGAAAGCCCCCCGCCGTAGAATGCACCCCCGACGGGAGCGCGGTTGAAAGTACTTAACAAGGCAGGCGAAAATAATCCAAGTTTTCCTTACCATTGGATGAATTCAAAAGCGTGTGCCTTTAATAATTTCACTCAGGCTATTCAGATAAGCCGAAAAAATAGCCCTCTGATTCAGAATATTTGCTTATTACATTATTTTATAATGTATGCTAGCTTGACAGTTTACTGTACAGTTTATATACCCAAGCACACCTCCGTATGTGCATTTTTGAGACACATAAAATCAGAACGAAGGTTGTAACGATCAAATAGTCGTGTTTTTTAAAATATGAGATCATTTTCTTCCACTTTAAGAAGCTAACGAGTGGATGGGAGGCAGGGGGTGCATTCTACGGCACAACACCGGTCTGCTTATTTCGGATTTCATTTGTGCGTGTTTGGCTCTGTTGCAAGCCTATTTCTTGAAAAACTGCATCACTATCTCTTCATCTCATCTCTTTATATTCTTGACTTCATAAATCCTGAACCTGAAGTTCAAACTGCGCTCATGAATATGCAAAGGGTGAACAGAAAGACATCATGAATCCGTGTTGTTCTTATGCGCATGCGGGTCAGTTTCGGACTTTGACCTGGAATCTGGTACAGGTCACATTAGAAAGTGTCTTTGTTGATTAGCAAAATCTAAAAAAGTCATAAGTGAGGACAGCGATGTGAAGGTGTTTTTGGTTACCTTTTCTTCATAGTCGGACAGTATGTTCTTGTCAATAAGGATGTAGTCCATGTAGGTGTAGCCTTGCTCTTTGCGGAGCTTCTCCAGCTCGGGGTCGTTTTCATAGTTGTCAGCATTCAGCTGCAATAACAGGACAAATTGATCCGATCAGACAACAAAGAACTTCTGTTTAACTCTGTTTCAATATGATCAGTTGAGTACGGAATCACAGTGGAAATAGGCTCTTTCTGTGTCCCTTAGCCAGGACGTCTCAGCTCCTGTCATTTAATATGATGGAACAGATGTGCGTAATGACGAACAAAATGCACTCTGATGAATGCTTCATTACGCGTAAACAACAAGAATGACCATTTCTGATGCAAAAAAACTTCTGAACTCTCAATAAACCAACTTTTAAATGTTTTATGACAAAAATAATAATCATGATTTTACTCATATAGCACCTTTCAAAACACAACATAAAAACAAGAACATACAGCAGCAGACATCAGTACAATTTCTAAAACTGTTTATCAATAAGGATGATTCAGGATTCAATAAAAGATGTTCAATGTTTTTTAATAAGTTAAAAATAGTTATGATAATGAAATAAAATAAAATAAATATAGGAAAAATGAAGGTGCATAATCACTTTATTCTATTAATGTTTACATTTAAGCTTATTTAATAGCAAACCTTGTTTGGTATTAAGGTAAATTTGTGGTAATGATAGCTCTAAGAGCCGTGATTTGGCTCGCATTCTTTTATCATTATTATTATCATTATTATTATTATTATTATTATTATTATTATTATTATTATTATTATTTTACCTTCCATGTCCGCACTCCCAGCTTCTTTAATTGGTCCATAGACACGGGCTGGTTGGGCTCCAGTCTGTGCGGCTTGCTCGGGTCTTTATCCGAGCTGTCCATGTACCAAGCCTCTGGAGTCATGCTGAAGACACCTGGACGACCTTTTCCACCTGCGATGCGAGAGTTGAACTGATGAGAACCAGTCATGTCATCTCACATAGACTACGTTCCCGTTGAAGCTGGGGTGGGCAGGGTCAGAGTAAACATCCCTTTAGGGTGGGATGAACGTACACATTATACCTCGCCACCGATTTTCCTCTCAGACCCCCCTGCCCCCGCCCATAAACAGGTGCTCTTGTATGCTTGTATTTTTCCGATTGACTGGTAATTTATTGGCAGAGCTCCTGAGGAATCAAACCATGTCCTATTCTCAGGTATGAAGACTTTAAATCATAAAGTTAACTTTCTGCCTTTACCAACAACGTACGGCCACATGCAGTGTAATTTTAAAGTTGTTTTAAACAGCCTGATAAGCTTCAGGGCTGCCCCACTGCCCACTCGTGGAGTGCGTAAAGGATCTGTGGCAGACTTTTGGAGCCCTTAGTATAAGTGGGCGTCTCTGCAAGCTTTGAGTAAGGGTATTATCCATAGTCCATAACAATATGATGTATACAAAAAAACAGGATTCTAGCAAGCATTGAAGGGAACAAACGCCATCACACAGAAATGACTGTAACAAGACGGTGAATAAGGAGCGTGAAGGGCGTAACACTGACCCAGGAGTTCAGATTAGGAAAAAAAATAGTAGAGTGATGCTTGACAGAAAGTCTTTTGCGTTCGGACTCGATGGGGTGATTTTTGAGATCATAGCGTGCCTGATCTGTACGATGGCAGGAAAATCCCCCATGGAGTCCTGAAGCTGGTGGTGGTGGCTGATGACTGCTGAGACCGGATGGATGAATTATGGAACTGTTGATTCTGCTGAGACTGGGTGGAGAAGGGGAGGTGGAGGATGCTGCTTCCAAAACAGAGGCGAGAAAGAACTAGAGGCAGAGAAGAAATTCATTTTTAAAATGAGAGCAGGACAGGGATAGGCTGACTGTAAGAGTGTGCTACCAGGCTATTGGATAATGAAAGATACCAGTGAATGGCTGATTAACCAATGACTGCCCTGAGCGATGACAGAATGAAAAGTGAAGAGGCGTGGGAGTGGAAAAGACGTTTAAGCAGCTGTGACGCCCACTGAGCAATAGACGGCTATTAGACGTCTATTTTTTGTTTTGTTTTGAGACCTAATTTCAACTGTCTGGATTCTGTATATTTTAAGACAGAATTTAGACGTTGCACTTTAACCCATTATTCAATAACTATTTATTTCAAAAAGCAACTGTGAGTTGCATAACTGATCTCCAAGTACTTAACCAAAATAATTATGATAGCCATTGAGCAATATAGGCTTCAGTTAGTCTAAACTTGGTCTAAATTCAGTCATCTAAAAACTATGATTTTTAGACCTGTGGTAGCCTGATTTTAGACAAGTCGTCGAGGCTACATTTAGACGTCTATTAGACCTCTTTTAGACCAAAAAATGCTCGGTGGGCAGCTATTATAGTCTAGCTGACTAAACTAACGCTGGAGCTTCATTTTATAAGTATAAAAGAGAAACATTGACTACATCTACACCAGTGATTTTGAACCTGTGTGCCGCGGCACACTAGTGTGCCGTAGAAAATTATCCAGTTTGCAAATAAGAAGCCATTGTCGAGTGTCTGTGCTGTAACAAAGTGAGCGCCGGAGCAGTACTCTTCTATGTCACTGGGTGGCAGCAGACGGCTAAATGCCTGGAAAAAAAAACTGAAAACAGAGAGAGGCTGGGGGCTGTTGAGGAAGTGCTTTCTGTGTGTCTCTTCCATTCCTGCCAGGATATGAGCCTTAGTGTTCATCTAAACGGCCAGTGCTTACACTGAGTGAGTATAAATACATTTAGAAACTATATAACCAACTATATGCTATGGATGCACCGAAAATGGCCAAAAAGTGCATTTTTGGTTTTGGGCCAAAACACTTTTCTCACTGAAACAACACGGGCGAAACAGATGTTGCAAAACCCGCGACCAGTACGCGCTAAGAGCCAAAATGTGTGCAGTTCGCATGTATTTTTTTTATCATAGACTGTATATAGAATGGACAGCATCTGCCTCCTTGCTGGGCGAAACCATTCCAAGAACAGCACCCTCTGGTGACGGGCTGCAGTAAAGGTCATAAATCCTGCCTCCACCAGCAAAGCTTATGGAGCTGTGGACAAACTTAAGAAATTTATTACACAGTACATACATTTTTCTCCCCCCTGCTTGCAATTTTGACATGTAATTACTGTAAGACTGGTTTGTGCTCAAGTCCTCTTTTTTCTGTGCAGCTCCATTTTTAAAAGTTAGTAGGGGGTTCATGTTTGCTATGATTGACACCTGATACAGCCTATGGGCGTTCAGGGATTGTGTAGCTCACCCAGGGGATACACTAGTGGAGCCGAGTGCCATCACAGCGACTCTCCCACCGAATGCGCACAACACGACTGCACAATGCTGGTTTCAGGAAATTAAGAAAAATTCGCGAAAATACCGAGAGCTTCTTGGCTTCAAATCCGTATACAGGCGAGAGGCGGAACCAAGTTGTCCATATACAGTCTATGATTTGTGTGTTCCTGAGAACTACGAATAGCCATTGGCAGAGCGTGTAATGCTAAAATTTCAAGAGGGGGTGCATCTGCAAAGAGTTTCTTCATGTTGGGTTTAATTTATCCCCTCATATCCTAACAGCCCGATCACCATTCAGAATATGAGATGAACATGAACGTGGCACGGAACGGGAAAATCCCTCCGAGCACGCCCACTATGTCTGCGGCAGATGTTGCAGCCGAGTACACAAGCAGGAGCTGGGGGAAGTTTCACTTCTTCTCATTTTTATTGATTTAACGGAAATCAACACTGCAGACACATGCTCAGCTCCCGCTCTTGGCTGCTTGAAAGTAAACATACTGACGCTACTTCTTCTAGTCGCATCTCTACCCCTCACAGCAGCTTTTGTCCCTGACTCACGGGCGCCATCTAAAGGTGTAAACCACTCAGGACATGCTGACTCAAAAACTCAAAACTCACATTGCAGTTGCATAAATTCATATTAATTTGATATATAAAATTAATTAATATTGATTTATACAATTGCAATGCCTTGATTTTAGTGAGATTAGTACACAGTCATAACCATTAATGCAATGGTACTAATACTTGGCGTAATAACTTCTTTCGGTTTTCAGCCTTGGTTTCTTCATTTTTGGTTTTGGCTAAGAATATTCATTTCAGTGTATCAATACATTCTGTAATATATACTGTGTTAGGCTGTACAGTGTCATTTTGGTTGGTGGTGTGCCCCAGGATTTTTTCAATGTAAAAAATGTGCTGTGGCTCAAAAAAGGTTGAAAAACACCGATCTATACATCTGTTTATGTTGTTGTCTTCATTGTTGTTTAAATCAGTTAGATGATCAGAGGTTTATCTGTAGGGACGAGACGAAAACGACGAACAGAGTTGCAAAATTCAGTCAGTTAAACGCTAAACATATAGGAGCAGCTTCAGTCCGCTCTGACAGCTCTCATCAGCCTGCTGTGCTCCTCCAACACACAGACACACACACGGACGCGTGCGCACACACGTGCAGTTTTGTTTTTGTTGACGATGACGTTGACGAAAATATTTTCGTCAACGTCATGGTTGACGAAAACAACACTGTTTCATTTCTCCATCAGACATGCGCACATAATCTCCCTCCCTCTCCCTGTGATATTAATTAAATTCTCATTTGGTTGAGTTACAGGGCATTTATTGCAGCTCAAACTGTTTAAAACTGAGCGTCTTGTCATTGACTACAGCAACTCCTCACTGGCAGGACTACCTGCAGACACACTTGAACCTCTTCAGATGGTCCAGAATGCAGCTGCCCCTTGGTTTTTTTACCAACCTAAAGCAGCATACATCTCTCGGCAGTTCATTTCACTTCAAATATAAAGACCTGCTTCTTGCCTAGCCTACACCCTACCAATCAAAGGCAGCTAGTGCTGCCATCACAACAGGGCCCTAAGTCACAAGTCACTAGCCAGACTCTTCTCCTCTGGTGTCCCCAGTGGTAGAAGGACATATACACCCAGTCCCCTTTTACTTCTGAGACACTTTCACCTGCTCTATGTAAAAAAAAAAACTCTTGACTTGGTACACCTAAAGATGATGATGATGATAATGATGATGATGATAATGATGGTGATGATGACGATGATGATGAAGTCAGCATCACTGTGACTTTGTTTGGTTGGTGTCGAGTTAAATTCCCCCTTTTCCCAGCATCATTGCCCACCCCAACTTGCTCGAGGCCTGGAGATCAACAGAGAACGCTGAAGACAACTTAGCTTGCTTTTTTTACTCCATCTATTGGTGTTGGCAGCCAGTAGCAGAAGGAGGCTGATAACTTCAAAGGAAGTAAACCAAAGAATCAGGCTGTCATTAAACAGGGACAAAATTAATTTCCTCATCAACACCCATTTCAAATAATTTATTAAACTGAAGAATTAAATAAAGCCAATCCATTAATAAACTTTATCAATCATATAACTAGAAAATTGCATTTCCTCGCAGAAAATGCGTGGAAATGCTGAATGCTAAAAGCTGATAAAGCAATGCAAAACTGCAAAAAAAATGGAGGAAGGTATTTATGTAAAAACTGTTAGAGATATTAATGGGATAAAGAAGATAAAGCAGAAGCTGTATGAATGTGAAAATTGTTAACAAATGAATAGTCTGAATATGCTACGTAAATTAAAATTGTATTCATGCGGAGAGAGGCTGAAAAACTGTATGAAATTGCACAAAATTTGTATGAAGAAGGAAATTACTTCAAAAAACAGAAAGTGAGTAGTGGCATAAGTTTAAGTTGTGGTACTACTCGTAGTATGACGATAAGTAGTCGTAGTAATGATATTAGTAGTCATATTAATCGTAGTAGAAGTTTTAGAATAGAAGAAGTTGAAGTCAAAGTATTAGAGCTAGTGGAAGAAATAATTGTAGCAGTATAGAAAGTATTAATAGAAGCAATAGTGGTTGAAGTAGAAGTAAAGATACTAATAAAAGTGATATTAGTAGTAGTTGTAGTAGTAGAAGTGGGAAGAGTTGGAAGAATTTGATAATTTAAAAATAGCGACAATGAATTAAAACGGGGAAAATTTAAATAATTAAACATCCTAATGCATTGGAAAGGTTTGAGGCATTAGAAAAGTTTGAATCAGTTTGAATTTGTTTGAAGAATTGAATAATGCAGAAATAATGAGAATGATTTTAAAGTTGGGAAAATTTAAATAAATAAAAATCTTGTGTACACCCCCATAATGTCCTCAATGAGCTGAATTTCTGGAGCCCTGAATGGTTTCTATAGCTTAAAGTTTGTAGGAGAAGATAGGTGGTGAAGCAGACACATGGTCATAGTGTGTGCATGTTGGTCTCATAGACGGAGAGAGACTAATGCACACACATATTTACAGTGTGTAGACGCAGGTGTCATAGACAGAGCGAGACTAACGCACAAACAGTGTCAGAGTGTGTGTATGTGTGCGTGTGTTAGTGTCCCTTGAATCAATGCATTCTAAAGTATGCTGAAGTTATAAGGCTGAGAAGGTGGAAGTGTAAAAGGTAGAATTTGAAGATTTCCCCATTCATTTCCATAGTAAAAAATTTTGCACAAAAAGTAAAATATATCAAAAAGTATAAAGGGTAGAAAAGTGAAAAATAAATCGGCACTTGTCCTGAAGGAGAGGAATAGTTTTAAAAAATGGTTGGAATAGCACAAAGTTTGAAGGAGTTAAAAAGTTGCAAAAAAAGGTACATGGTAATAATAATAATAATAATAATAATAATAATAATAATAATAATAATAATAATAATAATAATAATAATAATAATAATAATGGCTACAGGGCTATTGAGGCCACACCCCCTACATGCACTGTGCATTCCGCCATCACATGCACAGTTGATTTCTTGAACCCTGGAGGCCACACTTGTGCCCAAAGCACAAGACATTTAAGCCCACGGACTACATAAAGTCAAGTAATTCTGATAATATTATGGGGTAAATATATATTCAATTTATAATAGTATCAATATTTAACCTGCTAAAAATTAACAAAAAATAGGTGCTTAATATAAGCTATTTTTCATTTCATTGACTATTTAAGGGGCTAGCTTATTATGTTGGTCGTAGCTACCTCAAATGTGATGCTTTTTCTTCTGACTCCTGCAAGATGGTTTTCTGGAACCATACATTAATTTATACATCAATTGTCAAATATTTTGAAGACAATTCAGGTTTTTTAGCCAACTATAATTCTGTTCATGCCATTGCATTAGTGTTTTTACAAGCTTTTTGTTATTTTATTCTACAGAAAAATGCCATGTTTGCCATCTGATGTGTGGAAGCATTTTACTCAAGCTAATGTTGGAGGAAAAATAATTACATTTATGTTTGGATATGATAAAGTTTGTTTAAATTACCCCTAATTTCCAGTTAATTCCCATAAATTTCCAATAAGTCCCATAATTCCCATGGAAATTTTTCATTTCCAATATTTCCAAAATTCCCCGGCTTAACTTCCCATGAAAAGTTTCTGGAAATTTACTGGAAATTTTCTGCCCCTTTGCAACCCAAGACAGACTACAGATAGACTCTTTTCTCTTTTTACCTGCTTTCGTTTTTTATTGTCTTTCTCTTGTTTGGAGCTTTAAAAGGAAAGAAAAGCAGGACAGGAAGTAGAGAGACAAATTAGAGAGGTTAGAGGGATATGATCTCAGTATTGACTCGATTAACCTCCTCCTGCAGTTGCCTCTGGTCCTCTTTTTTCTTCTGCTTGGCGTTGAGATCCTCCAGTTTTATTCTCTCCTGCTTTTCTCGAGCCCACTTTTTCTCTTCCTCCTCCCTCTCTTGCAGAAGTTTTTTTCTCCTCATGCCGCTCAAGGATTTGATCATAAAGGTCCTCCATCCCTCTCCTTGGCTTCTGTCTGTGCAGCTCATCAGCAGCAGCAGCTTCGATGTCCTCATCTTTCTTCTCACTCTTCATGGGAACCTGGGAGGCTGAGAGGATGTGCTGCCACTCAGAGGCTGTGAGTGATCCTTCGATGGGACCCTGACTGTACGGACTTGGTCTCTGGTGATAATCCAAGCCCCCAAGTTTTCAGGTTGGTGCAGAGCTGGGTCAGCAAACAAGGTTTCCTCTACCTGAGAGGTGGGAGCCTTCGTGCGGTACCTTCTTGTGAAGCTTTTTCCCTTGTTCATTGTGGAAAAATGTTGTTTGTAGAAAACTGGCAGATCAACACATCTGTTTGAAGTGAATCAGTATCAGTGTTTTGGCTTGCTGTTTATTTATAAACTGTATTTTTTTTTAATTTTGTTATCTCCATTCACCCTGTTCTAGAAAACACTGCTGTAGGTGACTGCTGAAAAGCATGGTGTTGAATGTAAACAAATTCTGTTGTCAGGTTGACCACAGGCTTCCAACCATAGATATCATATATGCCAAGGTGCCTCACAACCCTGCCCAGGATTTGTCAAGACCCCCGCCATCTTGAAGTGGTGTTTGTCAATAATGGCTGTTTTATTGATTGAAGTTTTGTAAGCTTATGGTTTACCTGACAACAGCATTTGTTTACATTCAACGCCACACTCTACAGCAGTCATCAGCATAGATATCAAAACTCTAGAAGCCTCATGCCCAATAAAAGACAACAGCAGAGCATAAGTCAACACCGCCGCCATCTTGGGGCAGTACTGGTGACTGCTGGCAATTAGGTGTTGAATGTAAAAAACTGCTGTTGTCAGATTGACCACAGGCTTCCAACCATAGATATCATATGTGGCTAGATGCCTTATAACCCCGCCAAGGATTTGTCAAGACCCCCACCATCCCACCACGTGAAGAGTGATTGAAGATAATTATTAGTACAATAGTATAATAATCTCTTAAATACAACGGAGTATGAGGGCCACATTAAGACAAAAAAACGTTTCATGAATTGTACTTTAGGTTTCACAAACATGGAGATACTTAATCCTTTGGTACATGAGCATTACACTGTCAGAACTTTAAAAAGAATATATGAGAAATGCTGCTTTTGTGGAGGGGAGAATGGCTGGAAATGGCTGTACAGAGGCTAAATTCATCAATACAGCTGTTAAAAGCAATAGCATAGGGCTTTAGTTTATCATATGACTTTATCTGCCATGAGGTGTTGAGGTCTCTCCATGTGTAGGTTACTGACTTACTGTAATCATCGGGTCTTTCTCGTCCTTATAGAAACCTGCTCTATTTCGGCGAGTGTCTGTCTTCTTCTGTAGTCAAACCGCAAGATATCAAAATCTACCCGGATACAGCAATGCTGCTTTTTGATTGGCTGTTCAGTATATATACTTTATTTGATTGGCTTGCGCGTGGCACGCATTTCTGAACTCTCGGAGGAACTCAGTTGATTTCTACCTGTTCCATTGTAACAGAGGTGCAACTTTGTGGACATCACCATGTTCATTTAAATGCGTGAGAAATACAATGTGTGGCGTGTGTGCGGGTGGGAATGCGTGTGTCACACGCTGAATGCGTGAGACTTGAGAGCCCCGCAGAGCAGTAAACGCGAGACGCCCGCTTTCGCTATTTTAGATGGCTCAAAACTTGGATTATTTCGCCTTGTTGTGTACTTTCAACCGCGCTCCTGTCAGGGGGGCATTCTACGGCACAACACCGGCGTGGATAAGTCCTGCTTCTCGTTCGCGCAGCTTTGCAATGCTACCACAGGCTCTCCAAGCACTACAAGTACACGTGAAGAGTGTGCGCATGATTGGAATAATGGAACGCAGTTTGGCCTATGATTGGTTCTCGTCAGCGAAGGAGCCAGGAGGATTTGCTGACCGTCCAAGTGTCATTTAAAGGGCCGATTTCTGAAGTGCTCAGTTTACGTATTGAGTCAATCACATGATAATAAAAGAACAAAAAAAATCTCCTCGGATCTACACGATTCATGTAGGTCACCCTTTTTGACTTCAAAACGGCGAATTTCGCCGAAAGGTGAGAGATTTTCATGCCTGTTCATGGCATTCATACTTTTCTCACAGTGACAGTTCAAAAAGTCTTGAGATTTTCTGACCTCTTCAGGTTTTAACAGTAGTGTGTATTGCATGGAATGTTGGCAGCTAGAGTGGGTGACGTCATCGCTAGAGTGGGAGAAGCTGAAAATTTAGAAAAAAAAAATTGGATAAGGAAGAAAATTACCTTAAAACACAGAAAAGTGAGAAGTGCCATAGTTTAAGTTGGAGTACTAGAAGTAGTATGATAATAGGTAGTTGTACTAGTGATATTAGTCATCATGTAAGCAGTAGAAGTAGTTTTACAATAGAAGAAGTAGTAGTTAAAGTAGTAAAGCTCATGGTAGAAGTAATAGTGGCAGTAAAAGTAAGAGTAGCAGTGAAAAAAATATAAAGAGAAGCAAGAGTAGTGGAGGTAGAAGTGAAGATACAAGTTAAAGTGATATAAGTAGTAATTGTAGTGGTAAAGCTGGGATTTTGTTTGAAGAATTAAATAATACATAAATAATGAGAATGATTTTGAAATGGGGAAAAATTTGAATAATTAAAAATCCTCAAGTATTAGACAAGGTTGAAGGTTTGAATCAGTTTGAATGAGTTTAAATTTGTCTGAAGAATTGAATAATGTATCAATAATGGGATTACATTTAAAACGTTTACGACATTATCACCACCACAGACACCCATTTTGAGTATGTTATTTACACCGCCTCTGATCATGGGAGAACAGGGCCCTCTAGTGTTCATGATAATAAACTGCACCCAGCTAACCTGGGGGGGGGGGGGGGAGTGCCGTTTGTTTCCATTTCCAGTGCGTTCCTTTAGTTGTTCCCCTTACACCTGAAGATCATGGGAATATAAAATGTACATTTACATGCCTTTTGAACATCTAATTAATGTAAATCTGTCCAGTTTTGTCTAATTATGTCTTTACATTGCATTGGTGATCACAAAAAAAGAACCAAAATTAACAATGTCACTGTATGACCTACAAAGGCAAACCAGGCTCATCAGCAACAAGTCTGATTATTTTTCCATAGTTGTTTTTAAGTGAATAAAAACAGTAGAGCAGTTAAGTGATCATCTTCATACTGTATTTGACATTATCCACCACAGAGATCCACTCTGACTGAAGTTAAAAATGCCAGACACAGACTGAACATTATAGCAGCAGCTTTATTTTCCAGAGCAGAAAAAATATTGACTGTATTCCAAGAAATATGAAAATGCACATCTGATACCGGATCACACCTAATGCTGAGAATAAGGCACTACTGACTGACCTGCTGTGGATAATTCAGTGGAAACTTTAAACAAGGAAAGACTTCATGAGTTCAAATTTTGCATTAAACTGAAAGTTTCAGTGTCAAAAATTCAGGGATGTTTGACAGAAGTTCACACTGATATTTATCAGTGTGTTTTAGTGAGTATGTAATTACTTAAAAAATAAATAACTGAATATTTGTTGCTTAAAAAGTAACTCTTTATTTTTCCAAAGGAAGCATTATTTCCAAAGAGTTTCACATTGTCACTGCCATAATACTACAGTGGCCTGTAAGGATCAAAGAAAACACTGGCTAGAGAGCCTCACTTGTGCAGATTTTGCAGCTACCTCAGGATGACAATTGGCTGCATTTTGGACTTTTCACCACTAGGTGGGTCTAAATCTAACAAACCACATGTGGCTACATCAAGTTAAGGTGCAAATGATTCACGGAACAAAAAACACACTTGTGCAGAAACCACCTTTAAAAATGTTCTAGCAACATTTTTATTTAGTTCAATTTGAAGCAAACTCTATTTGCAGTTGAGATTGTGAGGCAACACAAAATCTAGCAGGTAATAATTGTCTTCTAATTGCATAATTTTAAGAGTCAATGAGGATGAAACGGATCATCAAAAATCATCTCCATGTGAGCGCAGTCATTTCATTCATTAATAATTATTCCAGCAGATCACAATGCTGCTTAGCTACAGATCTTTAGAATCTTTGTTTTTCTTAAACCTACATTATATGAACCTATTTTTCAGAATCATATCTTTTTAGTGTCCTGGGTGCTCGTTCTGAATCTGCTCTGTGGTTGGTCTCAGGATCCCTGCAGAGAGGCCACATACTTGTGGCGAACTTCAAACTCATCAGCAGGTCGGTTGTAAGCTTTCCACACCGGTTCCCCGACAAACAGCCTCATGGCTTTAGTGTACTCCTTTAACAGAAAAAACAGACACAAAAGAAAGATTTAGTTCACAAAGAAGAGGAAACCTGCGATAAACTTAGAGTATATCATGCAGTGTACAGTCAGACTGTCAAGCATGCAATTACATTCATCTGACATGATGACAAAACCTGAAAAAGTTGAAGCTTAATATAAGTAGGAGTCAGAATGCAGCTGTCCAATTGGATTATTGCAAAAATATCACATGCAAGTCCCACAATTTCACTCAGCTGCTTCAGAAAGTAAATTATTACACAAAACAGATTTTATAGTTTTCAAAAGATGGCTTTTTTTTTTTATTTAAAATCCTTTCCTTTTGACTGATGCAAGAAAATATTTCAGATATTTCTGGATTATGTATTTTAAACTTTCATGAGATAAAAACAACAATCATCAAAACTTAATCGCTCATGAATCGAAACGGTCACTTTTACATGCAGTTCATACAATATGAACAATTCAAGTAAAAAAAATTATATATATATACTGTATATATATATATATATATATATATATATATATATAACCATTTCACAGTTTATTTTAGATAGGGGTGGCCCAGTAGAACTTTTTAACTTCTGACATGATACAGATATTGTAGCCTTCAGTAATGACCGATACTAATATTGATCCGATATTAACACAAACTTGTGCATGACAAGTTTGCACTCAGCTGCAATGTCTTTTTCTGACTCATACAATATGAACAATTCTGTTCATACAATATGAACAATTCAAGTAAAAAAAATTATATATATATACTGTATACATATATATATATATATATATATATAACCATTTCACAGTTTATTTTAGATAGGGGTGGCCCAGTAGAACTTTTTAACTTCTGACATGATACAGATATTGTAGCCTTCAGTAATGACCGATACTAATATTGATCCGATATTAACACAAACTTGTGCATGACAAGTTTGCACTCAGCTGCAATGTCTTTTTCTGACTTTAACAAAAATACAGCCACACAGCCAACATCACTCTTACTCCTTGCTATTTTGTTAGTGCCTTAGTACACACTGTCATGTGGGCTCTGCATGCTGCATCCGGGTGCTGCTATGAAGGTGCTGGAGCGGAGTCTGGAATGGACTGCTTGTTAGTGTGCTAATATCTGAAATTTTCAATGCAGGCTGATGTAATCCCATATTTGTTTTTTAGCTGATATCGGACAGACATCAGTATCGGATGGGGACATGCCTAATTTTAGATGCATTTGTTTCAGCTTGGATCAGCTTGTGTTCCTGCTTTCACTGAGGCCAAAGAGGCCAAATTTTTTAACATGCCAGATTCGTTTGCAGCTCAGGAGCAGCTGATTGGTCTTCTTACCATCCAGTACACTACACAGTAAACAATGCACAGTCAGGCTGAAATTGAGGTTGGAGTTGGTCCTGGCTTTAAATTGCCTTAAGTCTGTCCCAGGGTAAAGCAGCTGAGAGTTAGTTTCCAAGAGCATTTTATTATGGTGACCACCATCTTTGGGCTTCGTACCAGAAACTGATGGGTGACCACACTGCGACCACATTGACATTTTATATGATTAAAACCTCTTTGGACTGTGATCAGTTTTTAGGTATCAGTCGCCAAAAAGGGAAAGCCACCGCTTCATTAAGTGTTATATTTTTAACAGGTTTTCCTCAGGATTTGGCACAAACAGACCCCACCTGAGACACATTCCATGACTTAAATAATCACAATATGAGTTTCTGTTTTTCAGACCCATGTCAGTAACATCCACCTTGTCTATGTGCAGTCAAATGAAACTCCACATCTGTTCCAAACCTTATGTCTCATGTTGATGACAGAGTTAAGCAACAAAGAAAAAGACAAGAAAGGAAGCTAATTTGAAATGTAGATTAGAGTCAACACCTGGAGGAAAACAGTGAAGTTTGTCAAGATGTCAAAGTAAACTTTTCTGAGATGCAAAAACAAACAAACTGTGGCCCTGGAGGTCAAGGTCACAAACATTTCTGGAAGGCAATAAATAAATATTTAATTTAAAAAACATTAAAAAAAAGATATATACACCTACAAAATATATGTTTTAGAAATCACTTGTTAATTATTAAAAAAACACTCAAATATTTAAGAGAGACTGTTCAATTTTAAAGAATAAAGATTATTTTAGTAAATGGAAAAATACTTCTTTAATACACTCTTAAACATAATTTGTTTCAGGGAACATCTTTGTAAATTGGAAAGGAAGGACCTCTCAACTTGATTGTGATTGGACAAAGTCAAAGGTTTTTTCCGTATCCTAGCAACAGCCATACCTCATTTCCTGTTAACAGAAGTAACCCCCCAAAAAACAGGAATAATTTGTGTTCATGTGGGCTATTTTTGTGTTTCGTCACATTTTTGTTTTTAATGAGGTATTTATATTGCATTGCCACTGTAGTTATGGCCCTGCAAACAGTCCTGACACTTGACTCTAATGCAACTCAGTGAGGATGCAGAGTTAGTGAAACTTTAAAGTCTGAACTCTGCTTCCCTTTAAGAACATTTATGAGTATTATAGTGATAATTTTTGTTTAAAATCCATTTTTACATTTCTGTTTATCTGAAGTAAAATACCCCCACTCAGCATTCCCTCTCCATATTTGTTGAGTCTCTTCCAAATATTGTTCTTTTCTTCACTCCTCAGGCATCATTTACTTTTTAACTCAGCTGACAGCTTCTTCAAGTGATTTTCACACTCACTCAGCTGCTTATGGTTATCCAACAGACAAAGCATTACTTTGTCACCTCAAATACTTAAAGCTTTAAAGTTAGCAGGAAGTAAACTACATCCAAAAAATCAAAATCAAGAATTCCTCCAAACCTCTGTATGAACCCATTATAGCTACGTACAGTCTCATCAGGGGTGTAGCGGTGATAGATGCCAGCGGGGAGGGTGATCAGTTCTCCCTTGGTCAAGAAGATGCGGATCCATCGGTCCTGCTTGTCTCTGACGTCAAAGTAAGCATGGCCGTCCAGGATGTAGCGGATCTCATCGTCCAGGTGGAGGTGCTCAGAGTATAAGACCTTCAGCTGATGGACACAAAGAGATAAGCAGGACTGTTTTCTTATACGCTGGTGCATAAAGATTCAAACATTCGAATCCCCTTTTTATGAAGTTGTTTTTAGGCCAGTAAAATGTTCATTTTTTAGAGTGTGTGAGACTCTTTCCAAAATTATTTCAGAGTGAAATAAAAGTCTAAGATGTCAGTATTTTGTTGAATGGTGCTCGAGGTTACCTTTTCCTCATAAGCAGGCAGTGTATCCCTGTGAATAGTGATGATGTCCATGTAGGAGTAGCCCTGCTCTTTGCGGATCTTCTCCAGCTCGGGGTCGTTCTCATAGATGTTGGCGTTCAGCTACAATAGCAGGACAAATAAATCAGATCAGACAATGACTGCAGAAGAAAGCTAAATCGTGTACCACCTCAGCACTCACAGTGAACAGGAGCCCTTTTTTCAGTCTCTTATCCAATGTTGAGCACATACGGCACAAAAACATGGTTGAAATTAAACTAAAGGACTGAGGGGAATTTACTGCAAGATCGTGAAAGGTGAGGATGACGTACTTCAGTTTGTCATATATTTTCACAAACTCTGAAAGCAATGGTACAAACAAGTGATCTGCTGCAAATAACGAGTGTAACAGACAATTAACTGGTGGATTAAAACAAGACATTTAAAAGATGATTCTGTCTATTCAATACAATCTACAAACTCAGTGAAGTATGAACTATGACGTATTATTATTAATTAGGTCTAACTCTGTTCTTTGAGGAGTACTAGGGTCAAATTTGAAAAGGAAGTCATTTTAAAGATCAGGAACATTTTTGTCAGATTTTCTTTTTTTTTTTTAAAGATTCACATTTTTTTCAGTCATTTTTTACAGGATTAAAGTTGAGACTGTTCAAAGAGCTGAGCGTTGTGGTAAACCCCTTCAAAATAGCAGCATGTGGTGAATTGTTGACTAAAATAACAACTTTGAGAGGGATATTTTTTGACAAGTCTATTCACATGAGAAGATGACTAAGAAAGAAAATCATAAACCTTAAAAAAAAAAAAAGGAAAGTTTCTTTTACTATGTTGTGATATGTGTTTTGATAGAACTGTGCGTCTTTCTGGTAAAATGATTTTGGTAACTTTTTTTGACACACACACACACACACACACAAAAATTAAACCTTCACACCTTTTATAGAAGACTATTTCAAAATAAATGTGCACTCATTTTTAACATTTCTGTACCAAGTTTTATTTCCAAACCTGGTGCAGAACTGTAAAATATTTTTGAATTTTTCACTTCATATTTATATGTATTGCACATATAAAAGAGCAAGGTGAACCATTGTGCTCAGTAACAAGAGCCAGGATAAAATTAAAATCAACTATTAGTGACAGGAAACATGCAGGAGGAGCTAATAGAACCACTAAGACCTGCTGATTGGCCCTCCTCACAAGTTTGTTAACTGACCTGGTAAAGAACTTGAGTTTTTTTTTTCCTTCAATGAAATAGACTAAAGAATAAATTTATGTATTTTTACTATATTCAAAGCAAATAAGACCATCAGAAACAAGATGATTATTTCAAGAGAGGTTTGTCAAAAGTACTGACTTTTGACAAATTTAACATGTACATTATGGACACCCAGCCTACTAATATGGGGTCGACATACACTGTTATATTTTACTTTAGTATAAAATAAAGCAGTTTTTATACTAAAGCAGTGTAAATATAACTTTGTTTAATGAGTAATGAGGATTATATAACCACCAATATCCTCCAAATCCCTCCAAGCATGCAGACAGTTTATGTTGTTTTGAGCCCCTGAGCCTGGTAGAGACACGGTTAGATGCTAAAGTTCACTTTATTAACGCCAAAGTATGTGAAAACCAGAAAAGTCAAGGAGACAATCTTCGTTTTAAGTTCTGCAAAGAGTTTAGATGATAAATGAAAGGAAATAATGTGGCTGTTAAAACGAGAAAATATAAAACTAACGGTTTATTATTTTTTACCTTCCATGAAAACACCCCCAACTTCTTTAACTCGTCCTGGGACACGGGCTGGTTGGGCTCCAGTCTGTGGGGCTTCTTCGGATCTTCATCCGAGCTGTCCATGTACCACGCTTCTATGGTCATGCTGAAGACACCTGGACGACCTTTCTCACCTGGACACGAGCGTCAAACTGCGACAGACCACTGCTCAGATGGCACCCGAGGACTTTCAGTGAAGACACTTCCTGATTGCAAAAGCGGCGCATGCGCGGAAAACGTCAGCCTGAACACGCCTGTGAAACCTGTGACGGAATATTAGGGCCATAAAATCCAGCAAAAATCAAAACAACCAGTGAATTAGAGATAAAATCCAAAGATTCCGTTTTCAGCTTTCTCCAGAATTGTGCAGTAAATACATCTTACTAGATGTATTTACACAGTATATCTTTTTATACCTATGTTCTTCCAGAAAGTGTCTGGTTTCCCTGTCTTAGTCGTCTGCCAACATTATATATGAAACAGGTTAATTAATGTAGGTAGGCTACATAATGTATATATGAAGGCATGTTTTGCATTATTATTGTTGTGAAGCATGTTTAAAATGTGCTGTTATGATTAATATTATTATTATTATTATTATTATACGATTTTTTCATATCTTAAGGTTTTTCCTGAGAAATCGACACAGTTTATACGGCAAATAAACCAATTAATGAGTTACTACTGGTCTTCTGAATCTGTCACATCACCAACATCCCCATCATCGCCACATAGTGGTGGTATAGCTACAGCGACACCGTTACTGGCAGAAGCTCCCTTAGCAAAACGTAAAGCGTAACATGAAAGTTGAAATAAAAGTTAAATTGTGTGCAAACAAGACGACAATTAGATCGTTTATTATTATGTCACACGGTTTTACATTCGGCCTTTACATGGCGTTGCTTTTATGAGTATTAATCAAGTTTTCTTACCTTTTTTCGTGTTTAGTGTTCGGCTGTTAAGCGGTGAAAAACATGGCCGACATTCTAAATCCATAACTCCGGCCCTCCTATATCAGAATAATTTATTAATGGCCACACAACAGGTTTGGTGGAATTTGTTTTCCGATACAGCACATCATGCTCACATCTCATGGGTCGGATACATACATGCATGCAGACGTTTAAAAAATTTTAAAAAATTCGTCACGTGACCTTTGTTAAGCCTTGTTCCGAACAGTATCCTCTGATGTCGTTCGGAATGTGTTTGGACCATAGACTGAATGAACTCAGCATCTAGATTGCAGCAGGCACGCTATATAAAGTAGTTTTCCATGAGATAAAGAGTGGAAAATGCATATGCGGCCGACGAGGATGGGATTCGAACCCACGCGTGCAGAGTACAAAGGATTAGCAGTCCATCGCCTTAACCACTCGGCCACCTCGTCGGGGCGTACAATGGAGGCAACACGGTCCAGTATTCTCAAAATAAAACCGATGTTTTACGCGTTGGATGTAACAATATGTCTTATTAGTTGTACCGCAGTAGTATTCACAACAGTTACTCTTGTATAGCCCGCTTAGTAGTCGAATACCTTGCCAATAGACCAATAAAACCATTCAAGTATCCTGCCTACAGACCCAACAATAACAACCATTTGTAACTTCTTTGAAAATATTTACTTACACAGTAGCACAAACTGTTTTTACCTTATTCACACCGTCAATGTACACTAATGATAATGGGAAAATAACAAATAGCTTTTAGATTGTTAAAGGTCAAACGGATTCCACCATAGGAATTCTGCTAAAAAAAAAATATATATTAAGACTGAGGATATACCAGTATTTCTTTAGACAGGAAGATAAGAAGTCAGTAAGGAATACATGGCCCACTGTATATAGGGGTCTGTCTTGATAATACATAATTGTTTCTTTAACATACAAGATTGTGGTATTTTTTTTCTTTAAATGCTCCGGTGAGGACTGTTTTCTCAGCTACAAAATATGCTGAATTTTGAATTTATGTCTCTGTATGACATACAAAAGCAAAAAGACCATCAAGAACAAGACTGATAATTGTAAGTCATAAAAAGAAGATGTGGATATGTAAGGGACAAGATAAGCAAAGCCTGCTCTGTCGAGAAAGGGTGCCAATATTGACTAAAAGTGAATGTTTCTTACAGGAGCCTTAACAACAACTTTTACAAAATAAGTCAAATACAGTTGACTTAAAATGATAAACTTGAGTAATTGAAATCACAAGGCCTGTAAATGGGATGTGATATTTCTACTCTGCTGTTTCCAGTTGTGAGTGTCTGAAATCATCCAGGAGAGTCATTGTCCTTTGATTTCAAGGTGAACTGACACCACAGCCTCAACAGGAAGAGGAGACCTCATGAGGATGTGTTAGATCAGCTGGCACCAAAGCTCTGTGTAAAAATAACTGAGGACAGATAAGCATTTAAACACATTTGACTCACAGATCTGCAGAAATGTATTTGACCATTTGCAATAAAACAACAATGACGTGTTTTTCACCTATCTTTCTTTTGATTAACTCTTTACTTCTGTGCAAAGAACCTGGGAAATTGGCAGTTTGACTTTAAAAACAGTCTCAAATATACTGAAAACGGAAAAAGATATAACTTAGTTTCACAGAGGTCTTTGCTCAAAGTTCACTCTATTTCTAACCCCTCTACTTGCAGATGAATAGCTGAGCATTCAAAAGTTAGTGTGATTACAGAAATCATCCAAATTATCCAGCACCAGTCCACTGCTGTACTGATCACTAAAAGCTATTCCATACCCACTTTCTTTAACATTCAGGAGGTTAATCAGAAAAGCTGTGTGTCTTCAAAGTAAGATTTCAGCCCTAAGTTTTAAGACACAACCCATAACCTTGATGGGGAAGACTGAGCTAAAATAACAGACTCTTCACATCACTGTGATGGCTAGGTGATCTGAGGCATTTGGTGCTTACCATTGCACAAAACTGAGATGCAAAACTATCAAAATTGACAATATATTAGATGCCCAATTGGATGCATTCAGAAGCGCAAGTTTGTCCAAAAAGTGCAAAAAACAGTCTTTCTGATGGAGAAGTGAAGAGCTGAATAATTTCAGTCTTGTGTTTGCAAAATTTTGTGATGTACCTCCTTGCAGACTGACTTTATTGCTGACATGCAGAAGAGGGGGTATTTTGTATCTGAGCTTCATTACCTTCAACTTTTTTAAAACCTGTGTTCTCAACAGCTGAATAAGGATGTAGATCTGCTGCAATGCAAACACAGATAGTGCTTGAAAGTCAGCTGGGTGTGAATCCACGCTGTATCAAAAGTCCTGTTCAGTATGAATACATGAACGTTTACACCTCTAATAAGGAGGCATCAGTTTGAGTTTCAGCCTTTTTTATAACCAGATAAAATCTCCACGCCGGTGCTTTATATTCAGGAGCAGGATGAAATTTTGGAGCGCCAAACTCTTGTCACATCTCCACCCTGTCCTCTAAATGTGCTTCTTCATGTGAATCAGACTAACACTGCAGGTGGTGTTTTCAATTATGCTTATCAGTCTGGAAGGGAAAGCAGCCACTTCATCTCTGAGCAGTTCAAATCCCTGCAGAGCAGAATTCATATCATCAGCTTCATCCAACAATATTCATATTATATCTCCACCAAAACCGTACACACACACACACACACACACACACACACACACACACACACACACACACACACACACACACCCGCCCACCGTACTGTACAAGAATCTCTGAGCCTGTGCAGCTCTGTCTGTATTTATTCAGCTCAGCTTCCTGCAGAAATCCTGAAACAACAGTGAGGAGTTCCTGCAACGGTTTGACCAGGAGAGGAAATTTGGAGGTGTCTCGCTGTGATAAAAGCCCCAGTATGCATTATGTAACTTTCCTTTAAAGTCCCAGTCCACTATGTGCCAGGTTTCTGAAGGGAGAGGAACACACACACACACACACACACACACACACACACACACACACACACACACACACACACACACACACACACACACACACAAAATGATGATTTCCTGCAATGGCCAACATATCAGCCCACACAGCTTCTCTCTTTCTTTCTCTGAGCCCAGGCCTGGGTTTAAAATAGCTCCGCTCCCTCTCAGGTCCTTACCATGATATTTGTGATAGTCTTATATAAGCAGCACCTCCTGATCTCTTCTTTCTCTTCATCATTGTGTGTTTGTATCCCATTCTGCCTGCCTGTATCTGCTTCTCTTTCACAGCTCCCTTCTCTAGCTTTGACAGAGGGAACTGAAAAAAATTGTTAGAGCAATTTTCATGGCAAAGACAGCCGGTCTACTCCGGCCCAGACAGACCGGCAAACACTGAAATCCTCCTGCTTTTAGCTTTTGTTGCTGCTTTTGTCGTGTTGTAAAAGAGAATAGAAATGAAAGAGGGTATGAATATGCTGATGATCTTGGATGCTGCTCATTGTATTGTATCAAAAAGCGACTTCATTTCTCTTTATCTCTAACCAACCAGCTTACCAGTTCGTGGCAAGTTTTCCACCAGCTGTGTAACAAGTTGGTATTCAACCAACAAAACCCATCATACTTTTTCTTTAAAGTTAATTGGTGGACCTTCTGTTAAGAGAGACAAAAGGACTGTGGCTGAGAGTCAAACCAGCGACTTCAACTTTGATAGCTTATCCAGCAACCAAATACTGTATGTCAAATATTAACACGTACAGTGTTTAGAATGAGGATATTTAGCCACATCTAACGGTAAGATTGTGAAATGGATAACTTCCTTGCCAATCTCTTCTGTGAAAGTTCAGCTGTGTCGAGGTATAAGGTGGTGACGTTTTTAGCTGTTTATATTATATTTGTGCAGGTCTGCGCAGTAGAGACCTTAGAAGTAAGTAAACCTGAATTGTACAGACGCCAAAAACCTGGAAACTGCATGAGCCACAAATTGATTCAGTTTTGTATCAGCCATGCACATGCAGGCTTGCGCGCCATGTTTGTGATCCACGTAGGAATATATGCTAAGTAGATCAGCCTCATATTCTGCACTCTACACACACCCACATCTGCAAAACACCTCATGAATGAAAATGCATAAAAATGAGCTGGTAGATCAGAGGTTTTCATGTTAGGATATGTAAAGTGCAGGAAAAGCACAATGCTCCCAGTTCAAATTATAAACTTACATCAGTGTGGGCCCTGAGCCTGTTTTCCAGCACCCAGGTGGTCTTAGTGTAATATGAGTGATAGGTATACCCTGTTTACCTAACACTTAATTTCATAAAACTTTCTTCCCATTATTGGTTGAATTTGACTTTTTCCTCTTAGCATCTGATACTGACTCTGTCCTTGGAAATTTTTCCAGCAGTGCCAGTGTGAAAAAATTTTATTAATGCCATCATTTCTATATAAAAGTGACCACCCATCCTGCATAACCCACCTACGCAGCTTTAACTCACATGTTTGACAAGCAAAATGGGCTACAAAATAAAAAAAACACCTCAATATACAATTCACTGTCTGTATTTTGTTGTTGTAATACCCAAATCTGCTGCTGCTACAGAGTAGGTGACAGACTTGGCAATGCTGCGGAACCAGTCTTTGTCTATATTTTTAACAGCCAAGATTCCCACTGAGAGATTAATCTGACTGTTAAAACACAGCAAGATCAAAATTTAAGTCAAAAACTTGACATACTGGAAAGGACATAGGAGATACTGGTTTGTCCACAGGGGGACGCCAGGGTCAACATACACCATAAGATCCTTACTGTAGCTTTAAAATATTTTACAATGTCTCTCCTGAGACTGCTTATGAACCTCATCAGTGGTAAAAAGAACGAAATATGTTGGGTAATCAAGGTTTATATGGCTCGAAACTTGAAACACAGTAGTGACATTTCATGATGTACAAAGTAGCCACTCTTGCAGCCACAGAAATGCACTCACATTTGCAAATACATAAAAATGATGCAACCTGTGCCCAGAAGCCTCTCAGCACAAACACTGGGATCACGATGGACTGATGCAAAAAAATGCAGAAAAACCCAAATTTTCCAGAAAAACAGTGACAAATAAAACTTTTAGAGTCAAGTTCCAGATGTGATTGACACATTTTTAAACCATGCAAAAATTTTAGCCTAAAAGAAAAGACCTGACATGAAATAAAGACAGCAGTTTTAGGAATATGATTTTTTCTGTTTAGGGTCATTTATGCTCTTTGTTAGATTAAGAGCCTTTTGGTTCATAATCTGCGTTAATTTTGTCCGTATTTCCAAGCATCTTTGCAAGCTTGGGCTACAGACCTACAACAAAGTTTTTAATAATTGAAAAAAGGAAATGTAAGACAATTTCTAATGG